GCCCCAAAGAAGGCCACAACCTCACTGGAATGTACAGCAAATGCCCAGAATGACTGAGAGGTTGTCGCTGGAGAGGCAAGGAAGAGGATGGGTTCAGGGGGGGACAATGGAGGCTTTACCTGCCATCAGTACCATTTCATTTCTTAAGCCAGGATGGGTGCAAGGATGCTCTTTATAACTTTTTGTAGTTATGAAATTTTCCTAACTTCTCAAGCCACTGGACTAGTGCATTAGGGTGGCCCCTCTGCTGGAAAGCTCACAGTGTGTGGAGACTGAGGGGCCTTGGAAGCACGGGAGCTGCCCTTTAATGTTCCAGTGCCCACTGGGCTCCCACTGCGGTGGCCAGTAAGTTGCTACGTTTTTATTCCCTTTGCCAAGGTCTCAGAGGCAACACTTCTACATAAAAAGCAGGACCGAGAGGTTTGGCGCTCCTGGCCCTCAGGCAGATGGTTCCTGGAACTCAAAGCTTCCCAATCGGGGAAGTGCAAGGCAAGGGGTGAGTCTAAGCCCCACTCTGTGTCCTCAGGGTCGGCTCACAAACTGCTGGACGGACGGCGCTCCCAGTTCTTTTTCAAGTGAATTTCCCTTCAGTTCACTGTTTGCTTTTCCTGCCAGAGCATCCTGCCCCCTCCAGTGCAGTCCTGAGGAGGAGACCCAGCCCCTGCCTTCCTGGTGTGCAGAGCTTTAAACAAGAGCCCTCTGCCCATCGGACATCCTTACCATTTCCAGCTATTGAGTGTAATCAGGTGTGCCAGGATCTGATTTCAAAGCCCAAAGCCAAGGGAATCAGAGGAATCCTCTCTCCCTGTTGCTCCAGAGGGAGACAAAGGGGACTGAACAAACAGGATGTGCTGAGAGCTGCACAGAGCACTGCCCCAGCAAGACGGGTGGGCGGGATGCAGGGCTGGAATCGACGGCCCGTAGGCTGGGGCGTTGGCGTGTGTGGTTAATCATGCCCAGGAGAAACAAGGAGCAGAATAAGAACAGACACAGTGATTCATCTGACAGCCTCTCTGGATGGTTCTTGATAGTCAGTCATGCTCTTCCAGGCTCTGGGAAGTTACAGAATCCCTGCCCTATGAGAAGATCCTGACTCTGGGCATGCACCTTGCAGAGAATGTTGATATTTCCAGAAATGAGAGAGAACCAGCCGTACCTTGTGGGGCAGCAGAGGAGTAGTACTCAGGGATCTACGAGCAAGTCAGGACTGATGCAGGCGGCAGGTGGGGACAACGTTGCAGCCCAATATTCGGGTCCTGGTGGATCTGTTTGTTTCTCTCTCTTCTATCCCAGACTCTGATTGCTGGGCTTGGGAACTTGCATCTAGTAAACTCTCTCAATCATTAACTTGAGAAAGTCATTCCAGGGAACAGGACCCTTCTGAGATTTCCTCCTCTCCTTCCCACTGCCCACAGTTTTATATGAGAGAAATCAGAGATTAAAATAGTACTCATCAAGACCAGACTTGAAGGCAGACAAAGGTCATTGTTGGCAACAAGGGTGGGAAGTAACTTCCACTGGGAAGGGGTACCCCTGGGGGTAGACTGACCCCCTCACCAATGCAGAACTCCTGCCCCTGCTTCATCATCTTTCAGAGCTGCTGTCACTGGGACTTTTCAACCACGAGTGTTTGGAATACAGGCTACAGGCACTTCTGGTTCTTAGGGTTACTTGGCATCCTGTGGATGAGGCAAGAGGGAGAAATGTCCTCCCATAGACAGAACAGTCCCACACAACTGAAGAACCGCTCCCGCCTTTTACTAATAGAGCAATACTGGTGGACTCAGTCATTTCTGCCATTCAACTCAACCCTGAGCTTCTCCAACCTAAAGGTTTGGACATGAAACCTCCAAAAAGAGTCTCTGAGAGGGAGAAGCAGATTCTAAAGGCCACTACTGGTTCTAGATGAAATAAAAAGCACCCAGAAAATGAAAACCTGCCTGGCACCTATAGTTCATCATTGCCTCTAAGGGCAACTCTGAAATAAACTCAAAAGTTTCCAAAAGAAAATTTAATCTGGCATCAAACCAGAATTTTCTACAGATGCTTTCTCCCAGGGCTGGAGTTCTGGAAACTAGAGATTCAGAGGCCACCTCTCAGCTTCCATAAAATAGGTCTGGACATATATTAAGTTGCTTTGTCCCTATACAGTGTAAATAGCTGGCAGGCTACACTTCAGCAGTAGCTAAGGAAGAAGATCCCAGCTAAGAGTGGGTATAGAGAGAGCACAGTGAACGTGCTAGTTATAAGTGATTTCTGTTTATGTAAAGAGACAACATGACTAGAGCTTTTCCTTAGTATGGCCAGAGTGGAAACTGAGTGTGGGGGCCTTGGGACAATTTTAGCTACATTAAATGGACTATCTAGGGTTGTCTTTGCGGAGGAGGCAAGGGGAACCCAGCAAATATCGGCCAGATTCTTCTTAAAGGGAGAGACTTGATGAATCCATCACTCACTCATAAGCAAACCACCTTCACAAAGAATTTAAATTCTAGGGAGATTATGAGCACAAAGTTGCGATGCCTTTCAGAACATGATTTATGATTCAGGATGAACCACTGCTAACTCTGGGGTTACCCAGCCAGGGAGGGTGGGAAAGGCAGGCCCATTAATCACAAGATGGCAGGAGGCCCCTCCAGGTGAGCCAACTGCACTCAGGGAGGAAGTGAGCCCAGGTGGAGAAGAGAAAGACAGGAGAAAAAAACACCCTTCCCCTTGACTCCTGGTGTGGCCAGGAGACAGATCTGCTTGAGGGACCCCCGGAGGGATGGTCTAACCTGCATTTTCTCTCAGAACCAGAGTGACTGGAGCTTGCTCTGCCACTCACTTGTTGTACAACAGTAACCAAGCTACCTAAACCCGAACCTTGGTCCTGTATTTGTAAGATGGGGTTAATGGTACCTGATTCAGAGGGTTATTAGGGAAATAAGTGAGCATTGATTGTTCCAGGCCTGGTATGAGGTCTTGGAGAGACCACAGTTAAAAGGCTGACAGTTTCATGAGGTCACTTATGTAGTGATCTGGGCACGGACACTGCCCACCATATAGTAGCTGCTCAACAAACACACTTATAAATGTTGTCCAGCCTGAAATCATTACAGTCATGTTGTGTGGAACAAAGAGAGAGTAGGCTTTGCTGAGTGGTCATGGCTGAATGGAGACCTGAATGACAGCAAGGCTCCATCCTGAGATCTTTGCTCCCCACCTTCTCCTGCCATCTCTACCAAATGGGCACATGCTGTGCGTGAGAACCCTTGTGCCAGGCCCCTGGACCTGATATTACACAGCACATTATAGCTTCAAAACTGGTTTTATGTATGAGAACAAATGTCAGCAGTTTTCTAACTTGCTCATTGGAGCAAGAGTTATTCCATGGAGAGCCTGCAGGGATGGTGGGAGAGATTTTTGAGCTCATATCCCCTTCAACTGGAGAAGCCCTTCTTAGATCAGCTTTATGCCCTGGACCTTTAAGATCCAACTTAGGGAGTGCCTTCGAATGTGCCCGACACTGCTCTAGGTGCTTAGGACCCTCAGTGAACCAGTCAGAGACGCCTGCCCTAGAGCTTCCACGGTAGCCAGGAAGATGCACAATGAACGGTAAACGTAATGATCTGTTTATTATGCTGGATGGTGATGCGTGCTTTGGGAAAGTAAAAGTCGAGCAGGATGGGGGTAAGGAGAGTGGGCTGCAATTTAAACAGGGTAGGTCTCATGGAGAAGGTAACATTTTAGCAAAAACGTAGAGGTGAGGGAGTCATGCCAATATCTGGGGGAAGGCGGTGAGGGTGTCAGCTAGCATTCCAGCAAAGGTTCAGAAGGGCAAAGGCCCTGAGGGGAAGGTGCCTGGTGACAGGAGGAACAGCACAGAGACCGGGGTGGCAGCAGCAGGTGAGCACTGAGAGGTGGGAGAGCAGGTGCAGCTGAGCATGTCAGGCTTTCCAGGAGGGAGGGGGGTCTTTGCTTTCAGTGTGAATGTAAACAAGTTACTTCAGAGTTCTGAGCAGAGGAGTAGCACAATCTGATTCGTCTTCAACTGGAGGGCGGGTCAACGCAGTAACCCAGGTTCAGGCTGCTGGGGAAGTTTGGAAAATCACCGGTTTCTCCACACGGTCACCCTCATGGGCCCCTTTGGATGAAGACTAGGCAGATGACTTCTATCCCCATTTTACACATTGGGAACTTGTGACTCAGGGAGGTCACAGGGGTTCTTTGAGGGCACAGAGCTGGAAGGTGGTGGGCTGGGGACTGAAGTCCTGTAGCTACCCCTGGCTTGGTCTCGGATGGATTGCTGGACACCAGGAGCTGTCTGCTCCACAGCGTCCACACGACTTTCTCGTGTCCTTGAGGACTGTTTCAGTGCAGAGAAAGGACTACCAGGCACACATTTTGGTTTTCCAAATTGGTATTTTATTTATTAAAGTTACACATTGAAAAACCCAGTTTTCCTTTAGGCTTTAAAGTTCGTATTACAAATTTTATTTTATTCTAGCATAGTCGTAGATGCTCAGCACAGGTTTGTGGACCAGGTCCTCACATTTCAAAAGCCCCTTCCTTGCCTTTGCCTCAACAATGAACCCAATACATTCCACCTAGCACATCCCACATCATCGTCCTGCAGTAAATCACACCAGAAAGGAAGAGGGAGCCCTGCTGATGGCCTGGGGTGGAGGTGCAACTGGGCCAGGCTCGGCTAGTGGAGGGGGCACGGGGCGGGGGGGGGGGGGAGTGGGGAGGGGGGGGGGCTGACTTCCTGCCAGGTACTGTGCGGTGAGGGCAAAGTTGCAGGCTGGTTTTGCTTCTACCATGTTGATCAACGGAGGCTCAAGGGGCAGCTTTGCGGCAGAGGGCCCCTCGAAGCCCCTCTCCGTCTACTGTACCCCCACATTTTATCTCTGCTGGCCTAACTCCTCCCCTCTCCCTTTTGCCTCTCAGTACTCCAGGCTTTCCCCTTCCCCCTCCTTCCCGCCGCCTCCTCCCCTCCCCTCCCCTCCCCTCCCTTCATTGCTCTCAGGAGCTCTCCGCCCTCCCTTCCTTCCAAAGCCCACACTCTTTGTTGCTGAATTCAAGGTTCTCAATACAATAAAGCTTTGATGATTTGCCCCAATTGAGGAGGAATGTCAGCTTAAATTAATGAAGGGTCTGAATAATAGAATTTTAAAGCAAAGTTTAGTTGCTTTCACGTTGTAAGACATCCTTTCCAGGGAGAAGCCTTCGCATTTACATGCAGTAATGGCTACTGCTGAGAAATGGGGCAATATGTCTTAGAGACTCTTTTAAACGCTTTCACAGAAAGAGCCCTTTATAATTGGCATATACTTCCTTTCAGTCTGAGTGTTTCTGCTCCTAAAACCTTTCATTTTCAGCGACCACCGTTTCTTTTCATCACCGTGATTTGACTGGGCTTCTCACAGATCCACCGCAGTTTCAACTCCTGAATTTTTTATGCCAGAGACATTTCTACAGGAAAGTCTCTTTAGAAATGTTTAGTTTTCAATTACATGAGTAATACATGAATACATTCTCTTTGCAAAAAAACCTTAAAAAGCAATAAATGAAAATCTTATAAATAATAAAACAATCTGTGTCCCAGTTTATATCACTTTCTTTAAGGTGGTACGAAGGTATCATCTAAAACAAACTATCTTGCCCAAAATCCCTTCTTTGGGGTCCTATCCCAAAAGAACCAACCATCTACAGCTGACTGGGTCTTGCTTTCTTGCAAAAATAAGGACTTCCTGAGGTAGTGCAGGCTCTCGGCTCCTGCTCGGTACGGGTAGGCCTCAATCATTGGCATCTCCTTGATTGTATCTCTGCCAGGAATACTCACCAAGATGAAGCGCATACGGCAAATGCTAACAATGACTAAATCTAGACAAGGGTACTTGGGTGCTCATTATACTATTTTTGCTACTTTTCTGAATGTTTTAAAATTTCATAATAAGAAAGCAAAACTCACCAAATTCTAAGACACCAAAATGGCCAAATGACCCTTAGAAGGACACAGGACCATTTCTAATTACTGCTGACCTCCTCCTCCCAGGGATTCCCAGCCCTGCTCTGGGAAGGCTGAGCCTCCTTGTTAGGCACAGTAACGTGAGCAACGCATGCTATATTTCTCAGCAACGCGCAAGCCCCTCTTGGCAAGCCCTTTCACGTATATTCTTCTTTTACTCCCACAACAATCCCTTGGGGGCTAGGAAAGGCAAGTGTTGCCCCCATTTTACAGATGAGGAAACCACAAGGTTTAGAGATGCTGCCTAATAATTCTGGCTCAGTTATTGCTTTCTTACTAGGCAGTAAGCATTGTTCTGGGCACTACATGGATTAACTAATTTCATCTTTACAGCACTGTGAGTTACCTGGGTGACTTGCCCAAGATTACAATGCTAGTAGGTGGTAGATTGGAACATGAACCCAGGCAGTGTACTCATGAGCCCGAGCTCCTGAACACCCACCTCCTCACATGATGACATTACAGACACCTTTCTAGTATTCTAAGAGTAGAAATCTGGCAGCATCCAGGATTCATTTCAGACTGTAAATGTGTTTATTTGACCCACACAGTATTTTATAATTTTTGCATTAGTTGCCATAATTTAAAGATTTATTTAAAGAAAGATTTCATCTGAAAATCCAGATTCTGGCTTCCCTTAAAAAGTCAGAAGTTCTGGCAACATTAGGTGGGCATCCCACAAAGTAACAATTGGCTGGAGCTGAGCACATGCTGCCCCTTTAGGCAGGGTGTTCTTTTTCCATTTTGTCACAGTCCCCACTACTCCCTATTATTGTACCTGGCCTCCTTTTAGGACTCTGTTAGCTGTCTAGCATGACATTTGAATTTGCAGCCCCTGTACTGTAAAAAGCCACAACTTCAAAGAAATAGAACGTAATGTCTGTCCTGGTGCTGTCAATGTACTACCTAAGTCATGTATTCATCCATCTGTCTATCCATCCAACCATCCCTTCATGTATCCATCCATCTCTCTTTTCACTCTGTCTACCTCAGTCACCCTCCCTCCCTAGCGGAGCTATTTTCAAACAGACTGCACAGAGTCACACCTGCCATTTCTTGACCAGTATCTACTTCTCTCCCACTCAGGATTAGAAGGGCGGCATCAGAGGATGGGAAAGGATCTATTGAAGGAAACAGAGTTATGGCAGGTGTTAGGGACTGAACTGTGTCCCCCCCCAAATTCATAGGTTGAAGCCCTAAGCCCCAATATGACTGTATTTGGAGACAGGGCCTTTAAAAGGAGGTAATTAAGGTTACATGAGGTCATAAGAGCAGGACTCTAATCCAGTAAGACTAGGATCCTTATAAGAAGAGGAAGAGACACTAGCAGCACACACAAAGGAAAGGTCATGTGAGGACCCAGTAAGAAGGTGTTCGCCTGCAAGCCAAGGACGGAAGTCTCAAGGAAAACCAAACCTGCTGGCACCTTGATCTTGGACTTCCAGCCTCCAGAACTATGAGAAAATAAATTTCTGTTGTTTAAGCCATTCTGTGGTGTTCTGTTATGGCAGCCTTTGCAGACGAATACAGCAAGGAACTGTTTTCCATGTGTACCCCATCCACCCTGTCCACTTTCCCAGACCCTGGCCCTTTCACCCTGCAGAGGCAATCACCTAACACCCAAGGCCATTTGGGTTAGTTACTAGGAAAAGTGGTGAGCAATCCCCATTAAGAAGGTCTATTATTTCTCCAGAAGTGTGAATACCACCATCAGGATGGGCTGGGAGGGCAGGGAAAGGGCTGGGAAGATGCCACTAAAGAATTCCACCAGTGAGATGCACTCAGGACATTTCACTAAACCCCGTGTACCTAAAATAGGGAGGTGTTGCCTGAAGTTCACAGTAGAAGGAGACTTTGAGCTGAGATGTGGGCATGGAAAGTATTAGCAAGGCCCATGACAGCTTAAGGAACACTGAGAACTGCAGATCCATCCAGCTGCTTGGTTAGGCTCGGCAAGCTGGTTTTGTCTGGAGAGTCTAAGCCCAGCTAAAACGAGTGATGGTCAGAATAATTACTGCAAAATTGGCTTCATCCTAAGCCTTCCTATGGGTTTCCTCCAGGTGTTCTAGTGAGAGAAGCTTATGTTATTAACACGAAGATAGGTGGTTGCTGATTAACCCCAGAGGGGCCTAGAGAACTGGGATAAATCCAAACTGGCTTCTGCTCCATCTTTGCATCACTTTCAAGCTGTTAGAGTGGCGATGACTGTAGAGTTGGGATGATGGTGTTGGAGACGCTGGACAAACCCCCGATGAGTTCTCAGATCCTAGGGGACAGCCAATGGTAACAGACTTCAACCTCAGATTCTAAATGGAATAAGCAGAGATCTGGAAATGATCCAGAGGAACTGGCTCTAGAATCCCACAGCGGCAGGTTGAGAAACACCATCAGAACTACCTTGTCTGCCATAATAGGCTCCTAGGGAAACTTTGCGATTTTAGTCAGTAGATAAAAGTGTCAGTCACAGGATAAGGTTTGACCAATGATTTAATCAACACTGACAAACTCAGAACTCAGGAAAGGGCAGGGAAATAGAGTTGTTTAGGTTTGCTTCTAATTCACTTCTAGCCTCATGTGCACTGAAAAGAACGTGGAAATACTGACATTTGAATGGAGACGGTTTGGATTGGCCTTTTAACCACTTGATGAGGTATAAAGGCAACAGTCTCTAATGAACAAAAGGCAAAGCCACTATCACGATCCAATTTTTCCCCGGCCCTCTAGTTGACGTGTGAATTCAGATAAAGCAGTTTCTCTGACTCAGTTGAAATACCATAACAGCACACATGACCAGTCCTCCAAAAATATCATGAAGATTGTGAAAACTGCCAATGAAGAGCTTTGGGCATCTCGAGAGAACACGATTGGCAAAGACCGTAGCCGAACAGAACTTGTGCTCTAAATCTTAGTTTGAAAGTAAACAGTTTTGGACTTCTTATTCAGGGATCTAGGACCAGGACTCCAGGAGGCTGGCTGGACAAAGGGGAGGGTCTGGGATGGGGACTATGGATCCTCACGGGGGTCAGAAGAAGGTCTTGGGATTAGTGGAGCTAGAATATCTTCCTTCAGGGCTCAGTCAAGCTTCCCCAGTGGAAGTTTCTCTTGCTTCTACTGATGCCTGATTTCAGGGAAAGGGAAAGTGCTCCAAAGATTAAGCGAAAGAGGAAAGGTGCTCTGGTCCCATGGTGGAAACGGGATTTTCTTTAGCTTAGAAAGGATTTTACTTCCATTCCTCCTTCCATACCACACCTTTCCCAATCTTCCTTATATTATCAAATAAATTTTAAGAGCTCTTCCTTCCCACTCACTTGTCCTATACCTCTGTGATTGGGCACTTCAACAAGGAGAGAAGCAGGATACTGGAGTCAGGGGTCAGGGGATGAGCAGTAATGGAGGACTAGGCTGTGACAGGAGAGATCAGTCTACAGTGACAACAAGGGAAGAAGCAGCAAGAGAGAGTGAGTGTCCTTGTAGCAATCCAGTTAAGGGCACAAACAGTGCACTGGAGTCATCATTGCCTCACCCTCTCGCAGCCCTCTCATGGAAGTTGCCTTGCCCACATCTGCTGCTGCTTAGGCAGCCATGCTTTCACCTCCTCTGCCTCAGTCCGCAACTGACTAGCTGGCTAGTGACCAATGATATTATCTGAGACAAAACAATAAGATGAGGCTGAGCCAGTGAGATTGTCTCTTAGGAATTTTAACTAGGAAATACCAAGGGAAAAGGCCAATGGGAACTGAAGTTGAAAGGCTGCGGTGTAGAGAGGAGCTCAAGAGACCAGGATGAGCCACATGCAAGCTGAAGTTCTGAGTAAGCAGAAGTACACAGTCTGTAGGGCGCGTCTGCTGGGAGAGAGAAAAGCTTCAGGTAGAAATGCAGAGAGAAGCAGAGACTCCAAGGTACTGAATCCCCAGGGCTGCCTCTGTCTCCTCAAGGCTTTCCAGTTCTAGGCCACCTGTATCCTTAATGACACCTGTTCCCTTTTACCAGAGGTAAGTGATTTTTCTCAATCAAAAGAACCCAGCTATAACTGTTTCTACAAGTTCCATGTAGGTAAGTTGAAACTGAATTATTATCTAAAGACATTTGCTTCAAGGTGAATGAGTAAGCTGGTTCCCTAGGCAAACGTGGCCTACCACCACTGCTTACTTGGAAGCATCTTGTGTCCTTGAGACTAGGTTTTAGGCAGAAAATGGTGTGACCAAATTTCTCCCTTTGTTCTTATGATGTCAGTGTAGGCAAAGACTATTTTTGAGTCCTGAAGAAAGAAGGTCTTGGGATCTACAAAGAACTGGTTTGGTCTGAGAAAGCAAAGTCCTTTTTAAGTTACTAAGATCCAGTTCTACAAATCCCTCAGAGGGAAGCTTTAAAACCATGACGTTTTACTAGTTAAAAGGAGCAAAGAGGTGTGGCAGCCATGTTTGTTCGGCGACAAGATCTCGTGAATCATTTCCCTTTCTGATTTCAGGACTCGGGAGCCTGAACTGGAAGGAAAAGCGAGAGCAGCTCTTGTTAATATGAGCCCTCATCTGTCATGTCCACAGCCTCTTGGAAATGTCCCCCAGCAAGGCTGCCATCAGCACTTGACTGAAAACACATGGACACGGCCCACTCAGAGCAGGAATTCATTATTGGAAGAATAATAAGGGAAAGTTTTTTTTCCTCTCTCTCTGCTGCTGGGAGAGCTGCTTTCTGGAAAAGTCACAGGGCTTAGAGGAAATTTGAATCATGTCTGGTAACAAGGGGAGGAATGAAGGCAGAAGAGCATGCTTCCAGGAGACTTTCACGCAAAGCATGACAGTCCTGGGCAATTCAAAGTGAGTTGTTCCATCTTAGATGTATTACTGAAATCAGGCCATGGCTCCTTTAACCCACACTCTTTCCCAGAGTTAGAGTCTGATGGCTCCAAGGGAAGAGTACTCAGAGTTAACTGGGTTTCCCTGGCTTCTCTTCTTTTTCAAAAATGTCATCTGTGAACTCAAAAGGGCTGTAAAACTATCTGGTCTTCCTTCCTTAACACTACCCCGTAAGTCTTTGATATATGCCAGGTAGTCCAAGGGAAAGGAATATTTAAGTAGTGAATACGAAAGAAGAAGACATGTGCCAGCTCACTGGGTGTGGCAGAATGTGGTCGACCTTCCGAGTGTTCACCAACATCAAGTTCTCCTTCCCTCCTGAATGCAGGGGAGGCTTGTACTTCTCATCTCCTTGGAGTTAGGAGTGGACACATGACTGCTTGGCCATGTGAGCAGAAGTGATGGGTGTCATTTCTTGGGGAAGCACTTAATTGCCAGTGCACAACCTTTCTCTTTCCCTCTTCCCCTACTGTGGCAATTGTGGAAGTGCATGTTGATACTGAAATGAAATACTGAGTCATTACATGGAGGAGCACGTTCCTAGGGAGAGTCCCTCAGACGTGCATAGACTTTAAGTCATTGTGATTTCAGGGGGCTGTTTCGGCAGCAAAACCAAGTCTGTTCCGTCGTATGCTCAGTATTTATTGGTCCACTCTCCTCCCAGGTCTATTTGGAGTTCTGGAGAACTTGTGCTCCATGTGAACCCTGTCCTCACTGAAATTCAGAGAAGTAGGCCTTGTGCCTTCTCTCATACTTAGGACATTCATCTGAGAATGTGATGGGCTCCTTCCTCTCATTTGAGCAAAAGAGACCTCCACTGAATTCTCTAGTGGAATAAAGTCCTTTCACAGCCATAGGACAAAAGTAACAGAAAAAAATAACACTCCCAAGTGCTTCTAAGACCACAGCTTTTTAGGGCACAATCATTTTGCACTTCCCCTTGACTTCATTTCCCTCCCCTCCCCTGGCTCCCACCCGCCAATTACCTAATCCTCAATCTCCATCTCCAGAATTCTCATTTGGTAATCCTGGACAAACTTTTAGAATCCTCTCTGAGCAGTAACTTTGCTCACCATATACAACATAAAAGACACTGTGCATGGAGTTCAGCACTTCTGCCTTAATCCAGAAATGCTCACTCTGTGGGTTGAGAGGGACCACATTCTTCTCAATCTTCACCAGGACTGCAGCACATCAATATAGCAACTGGGAGGCTAGCACAATAATGAGACAGAGTTGGACTCTGCCATACATATGTATATGTACACACACACTAAGAAAAAAATCACTGCATCACATCCAAGTTCAATAAAAGTAATTAACAATACAAGATGCCTCACTAGCATCTCATGGGTGGCACCGATTTGGCAGATTTTCAGTTCATGAACACCACCTGTGTTTTCTTTCTTGCAAACATTCCCTGGGGCCACTTTCCTGTGCATGTTCCTCATCTTTAATAATGGTGAAATGAGAATACAGTGATGGAGCCCCTACTGTATTCTCAGCACCACTATCCATGTCTTCTGTAGCCACTTCTCCCAGTGGAATCAAACCACTAGCATTGCTCCTAGTGATGCTTTTATTTGGAAAATATTCACTAAGTTCCTATTTTGTGTAGAGTGTTGGACTGAGCACTTTAGTGAACTGAGGATGACCAGTGAATTGAGGAGAGGTGGTAACAGATGTGAACAGAATTACTACTCGGGCGAGGATGAGAGAGGAAGAGGCAAGATGGCCTGGGTTCAGCTCCACCTTCCATCACTTTCTAGGAAGAGACTGAATTTTTCTTCCTCATTCCTCATCTGTGAGGAAAGAATAATGCAGAGTCCTACCTTGTGAGACTGTTAGGATTAGATAGGCTTATGCACATACAGTGTGTATTAAACCTTGAGCCGTACTCAGTCAATATTGGCGCAATGTAAAGGCAGTGCTTCGTCCTGTCCTGGCAGCATGGCACGTGGGGAAAAGCCCTGGTGGGCCCTGGAACAGGAGAGCATGGGAACCGGTTTGTTAATCACTGGGTGGAGAGCACAGTCTCAGTGTTTCCTGGGGTCAAAAAGATAGTCACAAGGAGGAAGCCATTTCATCTTTGACATTTGGGATTGGGATACGTTTTCCTGGTATCTTTCTCAGAGACTTTTGAGTGCCCTGTTTTAATGTGGGAACTGTTTAGCTTTTCTTTCTTGGTGGACAATGAAAGTAGAGAGAAACTGAATTAACAGTTACAGAGAACAAAGCACCTTTCTCAACTTCTCAAATGGTCCCTTGAAGTTTCAAATGAGCCAATTCATGCAATAAGAATTCATAGGAAATGTACATTTAATCAGCTGCAAAAACTCAGCTTGATTTTCACAACTGTTCTATTGAAGACACAACTTCTCAAAATGCACCTCATTCAGAGGGAGACAAATGACCACATCTGGAAGGCCTGCATCCCCCACTTCTTCTGGGTCTACCTAAATCCTCCTCACCTTCTGATGCTCAGCTCATCGTTTGCTCTCCAGGAACACCTTCACTGATTCGTTCCAGCTGAAATGTTCCTTATTTTGCCCTTGCAGCATGTGGCTTGGGCATGGATTGATCAGATGACTTTATTTTATTCTGTTTTAAACTATAGTTAGTAGGATATGAGTCTTTCCCATTCCTTGTCATACAGTGCTTGAGAACAGGGCACATATCCTATTTTTTGAGCTTCACTTTAGCACTTGTACGTGCTCAACAAATACTGAGTTGTTAAAGGATTTAGTCATTCTACCATTCTTCACTGATCTCAACCTACTTTGTGCACAGCACTCTGCTGGGCACTGATAAGAGACACTGCATAGGATAAGGCTTAATTCTAGCCTGCAAAGCATGTAAAAACCTCTGAAGGGGGGCAGGTACAAAGTGATTCTATAGAGGACAGCTCGGGGGGGTCACTAACAACTTGGGTAAGAGAGGTCCCACTGCCAAAGCCTGGGAAGATTTGATACCTGGCTTTGAAGGGGCTTCAGCCCCCAAGCCTTGCACTGAACCCGGCCTTGAAGCTTTGTTGGAAAACCTCATGGCAGTACTAGGGGGTAGGCTGGGTGTTCTGCTGGAAACAACTCAATTATCCCATAGGTCACCAGTTCATTTATTTGCTAATTGACTGGCCCAGCTTTGGGCTTTAAATCTAAAGAAATCATTTCATCCTTTATTAAATACTGCATGAATCTCACTCTTTGTTCTGCAGGGCTATACACAATATACTAGGGAAACTTGAATTTACACCACAATAGTTGTGCTACTAATGACCTTCCAAATGCCACTAATACCATACATGTTCTGCTTCTCAGTTGGATCCGAACCTGTCAGTGAATTCTGAGCCCATTGACCTCCCTCTGACACAAGAGCAGACCCCCATGCCCATGTCCGCCCCAGCCTCCCCTATCTTTCCATGATTTCATTTCTGAATCAGTTAGTCTGTGGAGACCCCAATTCCTTTACACCTACTCTTTTTATTTGGTGGACAATACTTTATTCGGAAATGTTCCCTCCTGTAATCACAAATCCTGTTAGTCCTCCTCCTCCTCTCCCCAGGGGGATTGTGGGCTTTAATTAATTAATGTGGTTAAACCGCTTTGAGGTGCCTGGTTGAAAGGTGCTATATAAGTGCAAATTATTATTATTATGGCTGTTGACATCCCACAATGGCAAAGCCTTCAGCCCCACGCATCTAGAGACCTGAACAAAGGCTTCTTCATCCTCACCTTCCCTGCTAGGTCTGAGATGGCTGGCTCAATGGTATGAGGGCAAATCTGTTACCATCTCAACAGCAATCAACTAATTAATCCCCATTATGTTGGCTTCCGTTTCCTTCTTCCAAGCAGCACAGTCCTGTTTCATTTCACAAATCGTGCCCCCATCGGCTCTAGACAAAGGTCATAGTGTCCCTATGGCCTCTGTTGGCCTAAAGGGAAAAAAAAAGAGGGAGAGAAAAAAAGTTTGAAAAAAACGTTGTCGTCATTGAAATGCACACTAGCAGTCTAAATAAAACTTTCCTTCCAGCAGTAGTCCACTAACATACATACTTTATTACCCAGGGCGCCGACAGCCTCGCAAACCAGAGACACTCAGAAACCCAGCACAGGTGTGGGCTAAGGCCCTGCAGCCCTGGCCTGACTGCTGATAGCTGTAGACAGAGGGAGTCTTTCTGGGCTGGCTGGGAAGAGGTCATCCAGAGAAGCAGAGCCCCTCTTTGGCTTCCTCCTCTACCCCCAGGTTTCCCCTGAGAAAGCCAGCTGCCATCTGTAGTCAGGAAGCCCTCACAAAGGCAGGGGACCAACATATAGATGTTTTGTCCTACACCTAGCACACCCAAGCCCTTAACAAATGCCCAGTACTTCCACTGTGATGGTAGCCAATGAAAGCAGCCCTGTGGGGGAGACTTGGCCCCTCGAAGGGATGCTGCTGACCAAAATGCTCCTTACAAGGTTGTGCCTCAGACCCTTTGTTAGTGTGGACGTGGGTGAGCCTCAGGGGGTCATGTCTTCATCTGCCTCCATTTATCCTCCCTATTGAAGGGCTCCTTCAGGACATCGGTCAGTCTCTGTGGGAAGTGATTTGGAGAGCAACAAAAGAACTTGGGCCCTTTGGGGGGCCTTCAGAATTCAGTAAACATCTGGACACAGAAGGCAAGGTTCTCAAGCAGTCTAGCTGGGGAGATGTCAAAAGAGAGAAAGAGCTGTGTGTGCAAGGCAAGCTCTTAGTTCTGTGGTGACATTTGTTGTAGAAAAATACAGACACCCCAGTAGGTAGATAGGAAGATTTTTCAAAAGCTCCTCTATTTGTCAGTTTTTGTGAGTGCATGCACTGTCTGTCAGTTCTCATGGCATGAGTGAGGAAAGAGAAGTTTCACATGGCCAGGGAGCAGCATGTGATGGATGTTCTGATTCTGCACGTACTATGAATAACTCAAGGTTGCACAAGCCTGTCCTGGGAGTTGTTATTAAGCATTTCTGTTATCCTTGAAGTCTGTAAAGCACTTTCTAGTCAAGGTGACTTGTTGGATTCTCATCACGAGCACATTTTAATTGACAAAATAACGAAGCACAAAGGCTAAGTGATTTATATTTCATCACCTGGTAAAACCTAGGATCTGAACTCTTGACTCTCAGTGTTCCCTTTATTGTTGAATCAATCCATTTAGAACACATTAGTCAGCATGATTCAACATTAGTCACATGGTACTAATCAGCATTCCCCAGTGTCCCCAAATCTATCCTCAAATAGCAAAAGAAACTGGCCTCTGTTAACAGACAATGATTGCCATTTTCATCAGTATTCAGGAGCTGACGTCCAGTTCAAGTCTCACATACTCATGGGAATCTTCCTCAGTCATCCTAGTTGGAATGAGTCTGTCTCTTCTGTACTTCCATATTCCATTGTCAGAAACTCGAAAATAGGTGTCACGGTTGCCTTTGATTAAACTTATTTTGTTTTGAGCTAACTAGATTCTGAGCTACTAAAAGGAAGGGACCTTTTTTTTTTCAGCCTTATACCTACTGAGCACCATAGTTTGAAAACAATAGATGCTCAACAAATATCTGCTGAACTGAACTCACTGTAATGGAGCTCAAGTCATATACCAGAAAGAACACCAAGTCCTTTTGGAAGAGCTTTTCAAAGAAAATCAACAACCTGAATTGATTTAACATCTTTTGGTATTATTACTTGGGCATTTTCACAAATGCAAATTGTTAACTCTGCAAAGATAGCCAAATGGCTTCCAGGTTCTAACAGAGGATTGTGGATCCAGTCTAACTTTAGTCCAGGCCTTGGACTAAAGTTCTTCTCTATAACCTTATTCCAACTGACATTTTGTTCCATGTTTTAATAAAATGTAGAGACAGGAAAAAACATTTTGGAAAAAAAATGTGTTTAGTCTATGACTTTGGACCCAAATTCATACCCTGCCTTGTGCTATAAGCACTAGTAAGCTCTTGTTCAAGTGTCTTTCTTGCATAGTGCATGATAGCAAAATACATATTAACATTTCTGCTTGAGACAGGTTCTGTTTTGGGTGGAAGACCAAAATTTTTGGGTGCTGATCTTTGGTGGCTTTACTTACTGTGATACCCTGCTTCTCTGCTCCAGACTCTACGTAGCAAAGAGGGCCTGGATAGTATTTTTAATGCACAATATTTATGTTGCATTCCCACATTATGCAACGAGCCCAGCCCCATGGTCTGTACTATTGCACCCTGGGGCCTAATGTCTGTGACTGGGCTCCTCTGAAAAGGATGTGTCAGCAAACATTCATCTCTCCTTCTCTTTCATGGTAAAAGAACTCCCAAAATTTAGCTGAGCACATGGCCACCCAGATAAACAACTACATTTTCCAGCCTTTCTTTCCACATATCTACAGACTGGCCAACACGATATAAGCAGAAATAATGTGTATAACTTCTGGTTAATATCCTTAAAGAAGGGGGCGTGCCCTTTCCTTTCACCACCAATCTCTACCCGACACAAATCCTGCTACCTGGATAGAGAACATGATGCTGAGTCATTCTGGAAGAACAACAAGAGCAACATCCTAGGTGTGATGGGGCAACAAGCTAAGAGCCTGGACAAACACGTGGGGCCAGACTGCTACACCAGCTCTGACTGCATTCCTTCACAATGCCATGTGAGAAAGCAGCAAACCTCTATCTTGTACACCACTGTTAATTTAGGCTGTGATTCCACCCAGCCAAACTTATGACCCAGCTATACTCAGGAACTTTCAAGATTCAAGATTCAGGATGGGCCTGGAACATCCCAACAGAGGCTCATGAAGCCTGAGAGATAAGTTGCGACAGGGGCTGCCATGATGAAAAACAAGGGGGCCCCAATCCATTTCTAATTTTATAAAATCTTAGGATCCCAGGCAGAGTCTTCGGAAAGGGCTACAAAACTCAGTTTTGAGGCAGCAACCACCGCTTTACATTTCTGGAACTCAGTTCCTTCACCTGAAAATAAAGGTGGTGAACAAAACTAAAAGCTCTCTTTCTGGGAAGTGTATGCAGCTAACTTTAGGAGGAGTAAAGTCATTTTTGTCAGTTAATCATTTAAGTATATGCATGAAGCACACGCACCAGGAGGAAGATCCCTCTGGAGGCTCTGGAAAGCGCATACCCCCAAGTGCAGAGATAAAAGAGGCTTCTATAAGGAATGCATAAAAAAAATGCACATGGAAAGATGACAATAAACTTATAATTATACACAGCTGAACAGAAATTGGTTCATTAGCTCCCGAGGAAGCATAAATTGATAAACCCTTTGGACAGCAATTTGGGAATATATAGTAAAGATAAAAATGCATAGCCTCTGACCAGTCATTCCACTTTTTGATATATACCTAGAGAAACTCTCACACTTGCATACCAAGAAACATGTGCAAAAGAATTCATTAATTTAACAAATAATTGAAATTTCCATCAGTAGGGGAATGGATAACATGTGGTATATTCATACAATGGATACGGATATCTCAATTAAAGTGAAAGACCATGATCTCTGTGTAGCAATGTGGATAAACTGCAAAAACATAATATTAAGTGACAAAGCAAGTTGTGCAACGTGTACAATAAGCCATTTATGCAAATTTGGAATGCACTCGAAACAAATCATAATATTACGTTTGGATTCACATATATGTAGAAAAGATTTTAAGCAGGGGGGGAAGGATATATTATCCTGGAAAGCTTTCACTTCTGTGGAGGACTGTGGGGTAGGGAGGGACCAGGGACAGGTACAAAGGAGTGTTGACTTTTGTCAAGTTTTATTCCGATATTTAAAAAAAAATCTGAAACAAATATGACAAAATTGTAATATTTGTTAATTCTGGGTGTTAGATTCATGGATTTTATTATTTTCTGTACTGTTCTGTATTTAAAATATTTTTCCACACTGAAAATTAAACCTCCCTTTGAGGCTAAGAAGAGAGTAGAGGAAGAGAACAAAGCAGGGGCCAGTGTGAGAAGCTGTCGTGGAGGGAGGGAAGTGGCGTGCATGTGAAAAGAAGAAAACTGGGCAGATGGGAGTCCTTCCTCATTTCCCGGGGGAAGCTCCTCCTTGAGAGGCAGGCAGAAGTCCCAAAGGACAATGCCTTGGCCTGGGCGAGCTCTCTGAGGTGCAGTGGCACCTGGCAGCCTGGGGACAATGTGACAGGCCTGCTCTGCCCTCCTCTCTGTGACCCCTGAGCGGGGAGTTCACTCTCTCTGCTCCGTCAAATCCCAGGGCTCTTTGCCCAGGCTCCCACAAGAATGCCAGACTGTGCCAGGTGTGTGGGTGGTACTGACCAAGCAGACACCTCCATACCTGGATGGAAATAGATTGAGAATCTTCGGGGTCACTTTGAGTCCACTGGGCAGAAAACATTTAGATAGGTTACTGATTCAAACTGAAATCTGATGAACTCAGATGGTGGTATTTGGGGGAAAAGAATTTTTCAATAAATCATCCAGTTGGTTCAGTGACCAAGAAAAGGAGGTAGAAGACTCTAAGCTGACTTTGTGACAAGGGAACAAATAGAGGAGATTAATGCCTCTCCCAATATGCTTCAAAAGGTGATCAAACAAGCATTCTTGATTTTACAAGAAAAATGAGGCACATAGCTTTCCAGCTCTAAAAAAATCATTGTTTCTTTGTTTTCTGGTTTCTTCTGAGTCCCTATACTAGGTGGTTGGAAAAACAGGAAAGTAGCTTCATTTCCAGAACCTTCTCTGGACTTATCTAAGGGTGCCCCAGTCCCATCCCAAGGTTTATGCTGCTCATTCAAACTTAAACTAGTAGAGGACAGCACCAGAATCCAAATTCAACCTGTCATACCAGATCTTGATTTTTTTTTTGCTGAGGAAGATTCACCCTGAGCTAACATCTGTGCCAATCTTCCACTGTTTTCTTTGTGGGTTGCCACCACAACATGGCTGCTGACAAGTGGTGTAGGTCCATGCCTGGGAACTGAACCTGGGCCACAGAAGTGGAGTGCACCGAGCTTAACCACTAGGACACAGGGCTGGCCTGCAGATCTTGATTTTTTAAAAAAACAATAGAAAAAACGCAATTTTGTCCCGAGAAACTAAGCCATTATCTTCTGCCCTGTTCAAAAGAACCTGGCCTTTGTTTTTTAAATGCTCCCTAGATTCCTGAGGAAAAGAAAAAGTGTAGGCCAAAGGAAGAGTGAACAAGGAGGCAGCCCCATTGAGCAGACCTCTTCATTCTCCTGGGCCAGCCCCTCCTTTAGGATCTGCTTCTTTACCAAGTCTTACCAAGTCTCAGGCTTTATTGCCATGTGTCTCTCAAAAGCCAAGATGGCTTTGGGAGAGCCCCACCCTGGGTTTTGCCTAGGCCTCCTGCAGCATCAGCAATAATCTGGCCGCTTACAATCATAGAATCTTTATTCCTGGCCTTGACACAGAGGCCCAGGGGTCCCAGCTGTGTTCTGGGGGCATAACAGTTGGGGCTTACTGGGGAAACGAAGGAGACGACCCAGGCAGATGTGCATCAGGTGGGAGTCCACTGTAAACGCTCCCTTCCCTTTGGCATGAGGTTCTGTGGGCCCACTCCATTAAAACCAACTTTTAACCCAAATTCCCAAAGTCTGCTCCTGCTTTTCCCTCTCTACCAGGTCCCGACACCCCTTAGCCTCACTCTGAGCTTGCCAAATCTCTGCTTTTCCACCCATTGGATGCTGGGGCTTTCATAGTGAACTCGGGGGACAAAGGAAAAATGGATTAATGGGATCCTCCGGACACCCCCGATACCTTTCCCACTTCAGTTGCATAAAAGGCCTCAACTCTCCCTCTGCTGGGACCTGGCTCCTCTCAGAGTCTGAGCCAGCAGGAAGCTGGTGGCTGTGAGCTCCCTCTCTTCTGGGGCAAAGTATTTCCAGTCTTGAGCCCAACCATGAGAGGCCAGGACCCCCAACAAGTGCAGGATGGACAAAGAAGATGCAAACAGCATGGTATTGCCATGGTAATGGCCTGAGCCGGGCGGCCTCCTGAAGATGCTGGGAGGGTGGGTTTTCTTTCTTTTACTTTTTCTTTTCTTTTCTTTTTTTTGCAAAAGGAGAATAGTTCCGCTTTCTATTTTACTATAACAATAGCACGGACCAGGCTCCTTCAAGTGTTTCAAAAAGCAGCCTGAGAAATCTCTGACCAAGCCCCTCCGTCTCTCCAGCCTGCCGTTTTATTGTCCCTCCCATCCCAGTGAACAAAGGGGCAGGAAAGGTCTCGGGCCCCCAGTTGCCGGCTGTTGTCAGCATCCTAATCCTTAAGAACTGGTGAGGGGAATGGCCTGTGGAGCCGGTAAATCGAATTTGGGCCTCACCTTTTATTCTGTCCCCCTGCTCATGCACTCAGGAGCTCTTCAGGTATTATAAAACCTCCTGGTTAGCAGACCAGGAGGAATCTTGGTGCTTGCTAAGGGGATAAAAGGCACCGAGGGATCATTCCCACATTCACTAACAGCCCCGCCCCTCCAAAGGGGTAGGCTGTCCTGATTGTTCTTTCCCACCACTTCAGGCTGGCTCCATTACAAAGACGGAATGTGGCTGGGCTGGCAGTTCCCTTTTAGTTGGTACCACAGGAGCTGGCCTCACTCTTCCCCTCTCTGTCTCTACGCCCCTCGGACATGGAGTGCATATTACCCCTGGAGCTCTGGGTACCAACCTCCGTACTACCTCTGGGCTATCATGGCACAGCAACCCTCACACAAGGAAAGCTTCTTAGCCTTGACTGCTGGTATCTTTCCAAGGTTACCACCCAGGGATCAAAGGTTTCTTTGCTTTAAACCGGGGGAGTTGTGCAGGTGTTTTTTAGCTCAGTCATCTGGTAAGAGTTGGTGAAAAAATAAGCTTTTATGTTCCGGTTTGTGCAGATCTCAAGGGTATAGCTCTACGGAGCTAAGTGACTATTAAGTACAGCATCTCCTAGGAGGATCAGATAAAACTGAATTGGAAAGGCCTTTAGAGATCACCCAGGCCATGACTATAATCCAAGTAAGATCAACATTTTGTACTGCAACCTCTGTACACAAACTCATAATGCGCACACACACACACACACACACACAACTTTTCACGAAACAATACAATAGGTATGATATAATCTGATATTTTCTATTCTCCTCTATTTCATTTTTTTTAATGCTGGTTGTGATTCATTCATTTCATTTCATGACCCACCAATGGGCTGCAGCACAGTTTGCAAAGCACTGAATCAAGGTCAACATTGTCATTTTCAAGTGGACTAGAGTGTCAGATATTTTCTCAAGAACATACCAGAGCTGGAACAGAAATCCAGGGGGTCTCTCCAATAAAGGAGGAGTCCTCATTTTTTGAGGATCAGAGCTCCTTTTTGTTTTCTCGAAGTCTGAGGAGCACACAGCTATAGGGGAGGGAGTGCCCACAGGTTTGCATTCAGCGGCATTGAATTCAGGGCAGGAAGGGTTCCAGCTGCCTCTGGAAACCTCCGAGGGAGGTGTCATCCCTTCAGGGAGGGAGATGGAGAAAACAGCTTCGAAGCAACCAGGTGAGGCTCTGCGATCTCCTAGACATTTTTATTTACTGGTTGGGGTTTTTGCATCATTTGACGCTTTCCTGAGTGTTTCTCTTTCCTGGACACACAGCTGTAGGTCAGCCTCTTTTAGTAATCCACTTCCTCCTGTTTTCCAACTTTTTCTAATAGTGGTTTTTTTTTTTTTTTTTTTTACAGTTTTTTAACCTCTACCAATTCATTGTATTTCCAGCCTCTACTTTCTCTAAACAACTTCCTCTTTCCTGTCGAAATCATGATCTTAGCAATGAGCCTCAGAGAGGCAACTCTGTGATCTTGTTCCCGTAAATATTATCCTAAAAGTTATCCAAATTAGACCAGCCTTTGAAACGCTATTTACCAAAATGCCCAGTGATCAAGATATGGGCACCATATCAAGGCTGTCAGTATGAGCCCTCTAGGCAGAAGTGGCTATTTTCCTCCTGAAATTGTCTTGTAATCTTCCATAGAATTTCTTGAAATCTAAATTTGCTATTTACTAGACTCTTAATCTTTTAAGAAAGCCTCTAAAAATGAAGAGTCAAAAGCCACACTGTGCACTGGGTAAACACAAGTCCAGCTTTCTGATTGCTTATTACTTCTACACCCTTAGAGAGTATGTAACAAAGGGGCCTGCTGTTTGCTTTGCTTAATCTGGTCCTAAAATCTCTGCTTCTTTGTCAGAAAACAATATTTGCAATTGTAAAAAAAATATTTACCAAGGAACTTGGATAGCATAAGTCAAAGGCTAAGAGCCAAAGGTCAGTAGTTCTTACCCCAAATTTCCCTGGATCCGAGTCCCTGCTGTGGAGCTCAGCTGCACCAAACAAACACTCTGCTTTCCGGGCCCATTAAGAAGCAGACATTTTAGAAGGGGAAGGAAAGGGAAGGCCTGTTCCTCAGTCAGAAGCATACACTCTCCAGCCTGCCCCACAAAATCCCTGCTAGGTCTTTGCAATGCAATGTGTCTCCACGGGCATACTGCAGGGACTTGCCCTGTTTCACAAACCCGGGAGAAATATTCAGTTTACGAAATCCTAAAGGGCAGATGTTCCTCCAATGGACAGCCATGACAATATGCTCCTCTGTGGTTCAGGCTAGATGTTCACCTACGCATCTTTGTGGATGGGGCCTCCTGCCTGACAGCAGTGTATCCTGAGCTCTTCTGTGGGGACCCTTCTTCATCTATAGACCAGTTTGGACATCTGACCCTGTGGGCTAAGTTCAGTGGTGTCTGAATTTACCCCGTCACGTTCACTGTTTTCTGGATAGATCTGCCATTGGATGCCTCTCCTAGTCACTAGAGGATCCAGTCTCTGGGAGTGAACCACCATAGTAGATCAGTCAGTGCCAACTTGCGGCCTTGGGGTGCTCTATGTGAGTCGGACCTCAGCTCCTTCCAAGGCCAGTAACACAAGGTGGAGGTTAGCAAGGCCTCGTCCCCAGTCAGGACATGAGCACAGGGAAAGGAAATAGACTAACCATGAGGCTGAGGAAGTAGGGCTCATGGAGCCATGACAAAGTGCCCCACAGGCTGCCAGTCCAGATGGTTCTTCAGCTGCTCAGTGAGAGAGCTCTGAGGCAGTGCTGGGTCCTCCAGGCTGGTGTCAGAGACTTACTGCCTGGGTCCTCAGTCCGTAGGATCTGTGAAGAGGACTGGGGTGGTGGCAGTTCCTAGCTTGCTTGGTTTGACCCTTATTCTTTGGTTGTCTCACTCTGTTAGGAAATTCTGTACTTCTCCCTCAGCCCCACCTCTACTTTGTCTCAAATTCTTGCCACAATTGCCAATCTCTTTTATCTCATCAAGATAAATATCATTGCCCAACTCCTCTTGACCTTTGATTCTATCCTGAAGTAGCTTCGATCAGGAGCAGAGCAGTAATTATCACCCGCAATGGGCAGCACTGAGCATAATCAGCTTAAAGAAATGGCTTAATCCAAGAATCTTACCTTGAAGAACCAGGCCTTCCTTCTTGATGGTGTAGACAAATGAGGTAAAGGGAGCCAGAGGAGACTTGGCAATGAGAATCTGCACATAAAGCATATTATGGGTTAGTCAAAGGAGAGATTAGAGATGGGCCTCTGCCTCTGTTTCCTCTCCTTTCCACTTTGAGACAAAGTGGTACCATATGACTACAAACTATAAGGTCAATTTTAAAAAAAATGACTTTAGAACCAAATGAGTGTTATTCCTTCAATCAGCTGATCATCTTGGAAGGCTGTGCATTTATTCCAACTATTCAGCCACCAAATGCCATATTCTTCTAGAAATGTTTCATTCTTTTAAGTCACATGCTTAACAGTTATCTTTCTGCCCAAAGATAAACCTAGCTTGATTCTCTAATTTTATTCATAAACTTAGCTATTTACTAAAAAAAAATAAGAAAAATTAAAAAAGTTTAAAAATTCAAAGCTATCCTTAAAAGATAAAGATTTATCATCATTGTAAATATTCAAAATAACTTGTTATAAGCAAAGCCATGATCAGTTGCTTTGTTTTCTTCAACTCTTCACCAAGTCTGTATTCTTACCCTTTGCCATGTGACTACATTTTTCTGTTACTTAACGTTTATAGTATTCCCACAGCCCTTAACTGTGGGTGCGGCCACATGACTTTTTGGCTAATAGGTTGTACCAATTCTCAGCCTAGGCCTCAAGAAGCCTCGTGATCTCCACTTGTTCTCTTAGGCTTCTGCTACTGCCAGAGAAAAATATGTCCAAGAGAATCTGCTATCTCAGAAGGAGGATGAGAGACATCTGGAGCAGAGCTGGCCAGCCAGGGCCAGCCTAAATAGCTGACCCCAGGAGAGCCATGTACACATTAGTTAAATGCTTATGACTGCATGCCTCTGAGATTTTGGTGTTATTGTCATGAAGCATTATTGAAACGAGTTGACTGCTATACCAGCCAACACAAAATACCAAAAATATTTTGGGTAATAGCATTTTCCTAAGAAGATACCTACTTTAAAGTGATGGTCATTTGGGCATTAACAAGTTAGTATCATTAACACTCATTGTCATACTTCATATGGTTCTGCAGAACCTCTAAGGACTGATGGATTATTTTATTACAACACTTCTCCTGCAGGCAGATGAATATCAGTTTCCTGTTTTACAAATTAACACCATCAAAAATAGTGACAGTGTGGCACAGAGCCACTTAGGTAATCAGGGAGACAAGGTGGAAGGAAGAAATAATTTCAAGTAACCAAAAGGCTTACATGCAATATCTCAATCTGTTTCAATTCAACAAACATTTACCGACTGTCAGCTGTGAGAAATGGTGGAATGATGGGGGGAATGATCACGGGTTGTAGTCATGGAGTTTGAATCTAGGTTCTTCCTCTAATCAGCTGGGTGGTACCCATGGGAAGGCCTGCAATTTTCCCCTGGTAGCCACCACCCCTCACCCTTCCTTTTAGTTAATAACTCCCCAGGTTTCAACATTTCTCTGCCTCTTTTGCAACTAGGTGTGGCCACGTGACAAAGCTTTGACTAACAGAACGTGAGTACAAGCGACAGGTAGAATTTCCAGATTATGTCTTCTTAAGAAAACTATGTGCTCTTCACTTTCCCTTTCCCTCTTCCCAAGGGCAGGAACCAGCTTCAACCACATGGACATGGACATCCTGGGCGATGAGGAAGCAACACAGGAGAAGGGTGACCTCATAAAGCACAGTGCCTCCCACCTGGGCTCACCTATCCACCTCAGGACAGAGCCATTTGTCTGAACCACTGTATTATGGCTGTCTTTATTTCTATGGGCATGGATTGAATTCCAACCAAAACTGTGCTCTGGACAACCTAAATTTTGGAGTTTCAGTTTCCTCACATGTAAAATGGGGATAACAACATCCACCTGAATGGGATTATTGTGAAGATTAAATTAAATATATAAAATGCCTGTCACCATGTCAAACTAACAAGAACATTTCTAACCAATCGTCACATATGCTTTCCAAGTACCCCTCAACTTTCATTCATTCAAAAATCAATACACTTTGCTTTTATCAGAAAGATTCACCTCAAGTTGAAGCTCAATAATCTTTACAACTGCTCTAAAGTTATCTAGATAAACTTGCTCATCATTCTCAGAACCAATAAGTAGATGGTATAGGTGGGTATTTACATCTTCATGTCAAGAACATCTCACCTGAAAATTAAGGTGATCCTTTCTGACAGAGATAGTTTGGGGGTGGCTCAATGTGAAGTTTATGGATGCCCCTTGGCAGAGGAATGGCATAGTAGAAGAGAGCACAATGCTTTTCAAACTTCAGTGTAGGTCTTAATCATCTGCAGGTCCTGTTGACATGCAGTTTGATTCAGTAGGTTTTGAGGGGAACCTGAGAGTTTGCATTTCTAAGCTCCCAGGAGATGCTGATACTGTGGTCCATAGACCACATTTTGAGTAGCTGGGTTCCAAGAAATATCCTGATTGAAGAGTCGAAGATGGAGAAGCAAGAGATGGGAGTTCTGGAGCTAGTTAGGAGGCCATAGCGATAATTCAGGGATGAGATGACCAGGGCCTAAACCACTGCTCTGTCAGAAAGAATAGGGAAAAATGAAATAGATAAGAGCAACATACATCCTTGAGGTCAAAGAGCAACAGAAAAAAACTGAACATATGCCAAAGTTCAGATCTTTATTATCTGCATGAAGCAATTGGACGTGAAACAAAAAGGGTGTAAATAAATAATAATCAATAAAGTTCAAAAAGTATATTTTTTAAAACTATATTACTATTTTAATTTTATAGACTGTAGAATTTGAGACTCCGAAATAAAAGGATGTGCTATTCCAGTGCAACACAACAAGTGGCATCTGAGCCTAGGCCTTCCAGCCCAGTGGTGGTACCTCCATCATCTGACTATTTCCTCTCCCAGGGAGCACATGCCCACTCTGTGAACAAGCCCAGAGGCCCAGCCAGGACAACTTCAACTGGCGGGCCCTCACACTTGGAAGGACCTCCCTTTCAGGGAATCAAGGTGTTTGGACAGGTCACTAATTAAAGCCCTGCCCTTCCCAAGCAGGGTTTAAAATGGGTTATCAAAAGGATGCTTTGTGCGCAGTTGGAAAGTGGAAGTGATCAGTTGTGTCAGATGAATCTCACTCCCCTTTTGTGGAAAGAAATTCCAGATTGATAGATTAGAGGGCTACCACCAATGCGAAATATCTCATTTTCAGCAGAAAATGTAACAAACTCTCGATAGCTTTCTGGTTAAATTGAAGACAAGTAGGGCTGGATGCTAATACCATTAGGTGGATTTGTAAGTGACCACAGGATCAAAAGCAATCTCGTGAGGGGTAGCAACCTCTACTAGAATGTACTGGATTGTAGCCTTGGTCCTGTCACATTCAACATTCTTATTGACCAGGATAAGGACACTGATGTATTCAACCACATCCATACAACAAATATGGGATCTAGCAGGGAATAGAACTGATAAAAATCGCTACCCCAAAAGAGATTACATTCTAAAGGAAGCAAAGAGATAATAAATAATAAAATATGTGGTTAGATGATTATATGTGCTATGGACAAAAAAAAAAAAAGGCAGGGAAAGAGAGCAGGAAGTCTATCGGATCAGAGGAGGGGGTCATTTTTAAGTAGAGTAGTAAGAGAAGACCTCACTGAAAAGGTGACATTTGGACCTGTGGATCACGTAACAAAACCCACTGATGAGATACTGAATATGGTAATAGAGAAAGAGTTAATATAGTAGATTAAACAATTGTAATATCAAAACAAATCTCAATTTGGTTAGAGTGTTGGGACAAATGCTACAAATCTTTAGGATGCAATTTTATTGAAATATATGTAAGGCCTTGTCCTTGAGAATAGAGGACCAACTATTGGCTATAGAATGGGGGAGACGAGATTTAGCATTTAGAAAATGGATTAAGAATGTTGGTTAACTACAGTTCAACAAGAGTCGGTTGTGAGACGTGGTTCACAAAAATCTAGCGTGGTTTTGGGTTATATCAATAGAGACACAGTATTGGAACAAGAGAAGTGATGGTCCTGCCCTCCTCTTCACTCAGCAAACCATGCTTGGTGCAATGTGTTTGGATTAAAGTCAAATTCCAAAAGGGAAACTTCAAACAGGAGAACAACTGGAGGAGAACCATCAGCGTGGTTAGATACCCAAAGCCACCTGGGCCACAAACACTTCAATGCAAACCTGATGGTAAGAAGCCTGGCATGAAGGTGCATATTGCTTTTAATGTGAGTTTTTTTGATCTGGAGATTCTGTAATGTTACATAGTAGAGAAGGGAAGTGTATATTGGCTTTCTAGCCCAGCAGATTTCAGAAAAAAGTGATGCTTGCCATGTATCTTTGTGGATGCATATAAACCCTTCCCTTTTTTAGAGTTGAATCAATACCTTGTGCCTTTCTGCCTTTCAAACTATAAATTATCCTTTTCTATAGGAGACAACTCTCCCTGGCAGATAATTTAGGCTGCTCTGTTTCAGATGTTCAGTCAGCCCATAAATTTGGGGTGTTCTAATCATTGTCTGACTTGGGCTGTTGGCAAGCGTCATTCTATCTTCTTCAATACATAATGCCATGCAGGGAGGGCCTGCTTGGTTAATAAAACTCCAGGGCCCTAGTGTAAAATTTTCATCACAATCAACTCTGTGTGCAGTGTGTGAAGTTGGCTTTGGAACCCTCTGAGGGTTCACAGAAATATGTAGTTGGGCAAGAATGAGTGCAGACACAAGTGGCTCAGAGAGCCTAGCGCTCCACAAGGCAGGTGTGTGGGATTGTGAGTCGTTAATCCCACTTCCAGCAAGTAGCCAGGCTGTTTTTTCTTGAACATTTCCTTCCTATCAGACCAGCTTGACTTTAACCACACTCTAATGAATATACTTTCTTTCTCTTTACCTTTTCTCACGAGGAAAGTGGTCATTAATATTTTAAAATTCTTTTGAGGAACATTTAAGGTATATCTACTATGTACTAGATGCTGGGTTCCAAATCCCACTACCATCTGGAAGTAATTTCCATTATTTGTACCATCCAC